GGCCGCTGCCCGCGATGGGAAGATTGACGATATTACTTGGGTGGGCACTCTTGGCATGCCCACCGATGCCCTCGAGGGTACGCAGCAGAAGGAGGACATTGAAGCTGTTCTAGCGAATGAGCACAACATGTTGACTGTCTTTTGTTCCGATAAGGACTTTGATGGTCATTATGCTCATTTCTGCAAGCACATCTTGTGGCCTGTCTTCCACTACCAGATCCCCGACAACCCCAAGAGCAAAGCCTACGAAGACCACTCGTGGAAGTACTACGTCAATGTTAACCAGGCCTTTGCCGACCAGATTGTCAAGAACTGGAAGCGTGGTGATGTCATCTGGATCCACGATTATCATCTGCTTCTCGTTCCTGGCATGGTCCGCAAGAAGCTCCCCGAGGCCAAGATCGGTTTCTTCCTACACGTCGCTTTCCCTTCCTCTGAGGTCTTCCGATGCTTGGCTGTTCGAAAGGAGCTTCTTGAGGGCATGCTCGGTGCTAACCTCGTTGGCTTCCAAATTCATGAGTACGGACGTCATTTTCTCCAGACTTGCAGTCGTATTTTGAGTGCTGAGGCTACACCGGATGGTCTCCAGCTTGAAGACCGCTTTGTCGATGTCATTCACCTTGCCATTGGTATCGATCCTGTCAGTCTTCGTGAACATCTTGATGCCCCAGATGTTGCAAAGTGGCTACAGGTTATGCAGGAACGTTACAAGGGCAAGAAGCTCATTGTTGCTCGCGACAAGCTTGACCACGTCCGTGGTGTTCGTCAGAAGCTACTTTCCTACGAGCTCTTCCTCAACAAGAACCCTCAGTGGCGTGAGAATACTGTCCTCATCCAAGTCGCCCTTTCATCCAGCGAAAAGAGTGATCTCGAGGCCACCGTTAGCGACATAGTGACCAGAGTCAACTCATCGTGGGCCAATCTTGCGTATCAGCCAGTGGTTTACCTCAAGCAAGATATTGACTACGCTCAATACCTTGCTCTGTTGACCATTGCCGATGCGCTCATGATTACCAGCCAACGTGAGGGTATGAACTTGACATCCCACGAGTACCTTTTCTCTCAAGATGGAAAGCTTCTTCCTGAGAAGAAGCACGGTTCCCTGATTCTTTCCGAATTCACTGGAACTTCTTCTCTCTTCGGCAAGAATGAGCTTGCAGTGAACCCTTGGGATTACCGACAGTGCGCCGATGCTATCAAGCAGGCTTTGGAGATGAGCGAGGAAGAGAAGGATAGGCGATGGAAGAACCTTTACGACCGTGTTATCAACCACACTGGTTCACATTGGTTTACTGAGTTCCTTGGCCGCCTGGATATTGTGTACGAGGAGCAGCACAAGCGCGATCAGACATCCGTTCCTCGATTGTCGATTCCCGCCCTATCTAACAAATATCTCAAGGCGGAACGTCGACTTTTCATCATAGACTACGAGGGCACACTTGTCGCTTGGGGTCCTGTCAACCAGATCATTCCCATCAGCCCCCAGCGAACACTTGACGTGTTGAACGACTTGCTCCTTGATGAGCGCAATACTGTCTACGTCATGTCTGGTCGCCGACCCGAGGAGCTTGATAGAGTCTTCCGCCGAGTTCCCAACCTGGGCCTGATTGCTGAGAACGGATGCTTCCTCAAGGTCCATGGCAGCGATTCATGGACTGAGATGGCTGATCTCGATCACGTCAAGGATTGGAAGGAGTCAGTGCGACCTATCATGACATACTACCTCGAGCGAACCCCTGGTGCTGAGATCGAGGAGCGTCGCTGCAGTCTGATCTTCCACTACAAGAGTGCAGAGGACTATGAGTCCGCTTCACGACAGGCTTCAGATTGCGCCAGTCACGTCAATGATGCCTGCGAGTCTCAGCGCGTTCATGCTATCGCCTTGGACGGTTGTATCGCTGTTGAGCCTATAGACTGGACAAAGCGAACCGCTGCTAGACAGGTGTTTGAGACTCTGAAGGAGGAGATGAGCTCTACGCAAGAGCACAAGACGCCCGTTGACTTTTTGATGGTCATTGGTGATGGACGAGAAGATGAGAAGGTGTTTAAGTGGGCAAACAGACTTCAAGACGACGGATCCGTAGAGAACGTCGTTACCGTCAGTCTTGGTAACCGCAACACCGAAGCAACAGCCACCCTTACGCAGGGTGTCAGTGGTACGTTTCCCTTTGCGACAGATCCGTATTCAGCAGTATACTAACTTTTGCAGGCGTCCTCTCTTGTCTCCAGCGTCTCGCTTCTCTTGCCTGACTACAGGTTTATTATGGAATTCTTGCGTGTTATTGCATTTGTCTTTGTGCCGTTGGCGTTGGGTCAGCGGGCGCAGGGGTATTAAAACGATCGTCACGTCCAGTAACTCGACGACACCAAGAGAGTAGACTTATATGATTTTTGTTTCTCTTTAGTTATGCCGTTAGAGTCGTTATGATGGGTATGGGTTACAACAAGGAATGAGGTTTTCATTATTACGGACTCTCGCGAGTAAATGGTTTCTTAGCACACTCAACTCCAAGCCATATACTCTGTATAGGCACATCGTTCATTCCGCATCCTTAGAACTGGGTATTAGGATAAACAAATAGAAGGATATAACTTCATCCAACCCAATTTGATCTCACGCCTCCCGCCGTTTCCGATATCCCTTGACTCTCAACAAAACGTTAATTACCGTTCCAACCGTTTTCCCGCTCATGACATCACACCGGTGAAATCCAGCTGCCAGCAGCGAATTATGCGCCCTGAAAACAGCCAAAAATAAACTGCCGCAAAGCACCCCGCGCCTTGCGACATCGGCCCAGATAAATCTTACTGGGAGTCAGGAATTTAGTGTCGATTGCCAAAGCATCTTCTCGTTCTTACTACGACTTACTGAAAGCTTATAAATGTAAGTGGCTTGAGGGTATAAAAGAGGCTGGATTGAACGTTGACTTTTGAGCTGCAGCCAAGTTTGAGATTGAGATTGTGTAATCGAAATGGCTGCTTTTCCTCCTCCGCCTGTTAATACCATTGACTGGTCCAATGTGGGCTTCAAGGTCCGCGAAGGTTAGCTCCCTACCCAATTGACTATCCTCGAAGCTATTGTATTGATAATTACAGTCAATGGTCATATTGAATCAACATACAGTCGAAGCACAGGAAAATGGACTCCTCTTCACTTCGTCGCCGATCCCTTCATGCGCATCCACGGCATGGCTCCAGCTCTCAACTACGGCCAACAAGCCTACGAAGGTCTCAAGGCCTTCCGAACCCCCAACGATGAAGCAATCACCATCTTCCGCCCCAACCGTAACGCAAAACGTCTTCAACACTCTGCAGAAGTCGTTTCAATGCCCCAAGTCCCCGAAGATCTCTTCCTCGAGGCCGTTCGCGCCGCTGTCGCTTTAAACGCCGAATACGTTCCTCCTCACGACACTGGCGCTGCGCTGTATATTCGTCCACAGCTGTATGGTTCAAGTGCTCAGCTTGGTCTTTCCCCGCCGGATGAATATATCTTTGCGGTGTTTGTCATTCCTACGGGTGTTTACCATGGTGCTCATCCTGTGAAAGCACTTATTCTTGAGGACTTCGATCGTGCGGCGCCGAATGGCACGGGTAATGCAAAGGTTGGTGGTAACTACGCTCCTGTGCTGCGATGGAGCGATAAGGCGCGTGACGAGGGCTATGGTATCACGCTGCACCTGGACAGTGTGCGCCACGAAGAGATTGACGAGTTCAGCACGAGCGGCTTCATCGGTGTCAAGGACAACGGGGGACAAGTCACCCTCGCGGTACCGGACAGCAAGAATGTTATCGAGAGTGTCACGAGCGATAGCATCCAGGAACTAGCGCGCAGCTACGGATGGACCGTGGAGAAGAGAGCGATCAAGTATGAGGAGCTCAAGGAGTTTACAGAGGTATTTGCAGCGGGTACTGCGGCGGCGCTGGTGCCGATTAGGAGTATTACGCGACGTATTGATGGGAGGGAGGATGTTGTTACGTATATCAAGGATGGGAGTGAAGAGCCTGGACCGCTGTTTGAGAAGTTGCTTACGCATCTGAAGGATATTCAACTTGGACGAGCTGAGGATTCTTTTGGGTGGAGATATCCTGTTGGTGAGAAGGATAAGGAGATTGCTGGTGTACCGGGAGGACGAAACGGTGATGCTACGACTGTTGATCAGATGGATTAACAAGGTATCTAGGGAGAAATAGAGAGTGTGGTTACCGTGTTAGTCGCACTCGCGATACTGACCCGTCTCGTCTATCTCGAGTTCCCAAGACCGTGTTTGCACTTTGTCCCGCGACCCCCGTCGTTGGTTACGGCTCGCCGCATGGTACAACGGGAGTTGGACAAACAGACCACCCTTTGGGGTTTGCGGAGCCGGAGGAGGTGTGACGGGCCGGCAATTCTCATATATACAACCATCCAACCTCAATATAAATCCCATATCTCAAACCCCCTTATTCCCCCTTCTGCCAAACCCTCTCTGCTCCAACAACAAACCTCCTCACTATTGAAACAGAACAGAAGAATGTGCACATACTCTTTCCAGCGCATGGTATGCTGCTGCGCCAAAGGCCCCGAATGCCCCCAAATGACCCGCGGCCGCGCCATAATCGGCGGCGAGGCTTTCCACTACATTGACATGTTCTACGCGGTGGACGACCTAGGTTCGGCGTGCGATTACCAGCGACGACTGTTTGGGCGGAACGCGGGCCCGACGATGCATTGTCCGAGATATGCGTTTGACGATAAGAGGATTATCAAGGGGAGCTTTAGGAAGAGCGAATTGGCGTGTGTTAAGTGTGCTGAGACGTGTGCGCCGCCGAGTTGTAGTTGGCAGGCTCCTAGGGCGGAGGGGAAGGAGGAGGGGAAGTAGAACGGCCCCACACGGAGGAGATTCGGGACGGAAGACGGAGGAGAAGACGGAGAAGGATACGGAGGGAGGTACAGAGGGCACGGAGGAAGTTTGGGGTGAGATTCGATGAGGGAGGATAGTATTGACGCTATTGAAAACTATTTAATGTCCATTTACACCGTTTGACTTTCCGTTGGTCTCCAATCTGCTATGAGCCCCAGAACCTGGCGCACCTTGGCGTGCCGCAGGACTCTTACTCTTATCCACAATTCCATTCGCAAGTTTGTTCTTCCCATCAGGAGTCATGCCGTTGTGCGTGCCATTAAACGTCATGTTGGCAATTCCATCGTATCCCTTGATGTCAGTTGACTTCTCCAATCTCTCAGCAATTTCAGGATCAACCTCCCGGAAGATGGCGATCTGTCGCTTCAAAGGCTCTTCTTGCTTGCAAAGCTTCATCTTGCCGGTCACATTATTGATAAACCTCTCTCTCGCGGGCTCATCGAAGACGTTTCGCCAAAGTGCGCGAGGGGCGTTGAAGTCTTCTGGTCGGATTTCGGTGAGGAACGTAATGGCTTCGCCGGTGAAGTGGCCGTGAGTCTTATCCTGATCGACGGTCCTGGGACGGAACTTGATAGGATCAATAGAGGATAAGTAATTAGGGCGCGCGCCCTGATTGTAAAACGCCATCTGACCGTCACGCTGGAAGTTTCCAAACTGGTATCCTGTTCTGGTCGCGTTGACGGGAAGTTGCTGGTAGTTGACTCCAAGACGATGGCGATGTGTATCCGGATAAGAGAATAATCGGGACTGAAGAACAGGATCGGCCGATGGCTCAACGCCGGGGGGCAGATGAGATGGGTTGAAAGCAATCTGCTCGACTTCCGCAAAGTAGTTAATCGCATTCTCATTGAGTGTGAACTCTCCGACCTTGCGACGAGGGAATTTCTTCTGAGGCCACACGTGAGTGAGGTCGAAGACATTAATATTTTGCTTCTCCCACAACTCCTCGGCCTCCTTAGGAGTCATAGTCTGAACTTCAAGAGTCCACTTGGGGTAATCTCCATTCTGGATAGCTTCATACAAATCCTTTTGTGAGTGATCAGGAGAGTAATCGGCTGACTCCTCCTGGGTGACAAAGTCAACACCCTGCATCGACTTGAGGTGAATTTGACAGTAAACCCAATCGCCAGCCTTGTTGACAAGCTTAAAGGTGTGACCGCTATAGCCGTGAATTTGACGGTAGTTTTTCGGGATCCCCCTGTCACCCATGAGGATCATGACTTGGTGGATTGATTCGGGGTTCTGGGAGAGGTAGTCCCAGAACATGAAAGAGTCGTCGGCGTGAGTGAGGTGAGTGCCTTGTCTATTAGCCAAGCGATCAATTGTATAGAAGATAAAGAGACTTACTGGGGTCTCGCTTCTGAGTGTGAATAAAGTGAGGGAACTTGGCGGGATCTCTCAAGAAGAAGACAGGAGTGTTGTTAAAGACCATATCCCAGTTCTGTACAAATCAGCATCTCACCACAATATTTCACTTAGATCACTTACACCCTCATCAGTCCTCATCTTCACCGAAAAACCCCTCGGATCTCTCGCCATATCGTGCGATCCCGACTCACCCCCCACCGTCGAAAACCTCATACTAACCGAACATCTCTTCCCCTTCTCCGACAGAATATCCGCCAGGCACAAATCATCAAGCGGGTCCGTACACTCAAAATAACCATGTGCACCACTTCCCTTGGCGTGAACAACGCGCTCTGGAATACGCTCACGGTCAAAGTGGGAGAGAAGATCGATCAAGTGAAAGTCTTGCAGGAGAAGAGGGCCGTTTTCACCGGCTCGTTGGGTTTCGTAGGGGTGGGCGATGGGGACGCCGTTGGAGGTGGTGTAGAGGGTTTCTTTGGAGGAGGCTTGACGGTCTGATTCGTAGGATTGGAATTGGCTTGCTACATGGGCTGCGAAGGAGGTGTCTGTTGCTGAAGGAGCCATTTTGACGTAAATATCGTGAATTGTTATATCTTCAAAGTAACTAACACACAAGACTTCTGTGATATTTCACGATGTAGGTCACTCTTATATACAAGCCACACTTCCCCGGATAGTTCATCTTGTCATCTATCAAGCCTCCCGTCGAGATCCGGTCTTCTTAATTGATGTATCTTGTCTATGACGCGGTGAAACCCTTTAAGTACCAAGGGATCGAAAAGTGTTCGATGAAGCTCGATTACCATTCAAATCACGATGATTGGCTTATCTGGATGTTCATGATGCCTTGCTTTGAGACATGACATCACGACAGCCACGTCAACCATCGACGATTTATACCAACATCTCGGGATGTGGACATGATAAGTGAAGGGATTACGGGGGTTTCATGGGAAAATTGGGTCGAAGGATTGTTGAAGATGTTTTTATAGATATTTCATCTGTCAAGCATTTGCCAAGCTAGATCTGAGATCTTAGGCTGATGGGTGGGTTACCATTTAAGATCGTGATGGCGTCAAGATACCCTGTACCATTTGATGAGACTTGATATTTTATCACAATTGACGATACTTACTGTATGTCTGTTGGAAAATTGTATCTTTCTATTCTCCTCTGTTCCTTACCCACCATAATCAATTAAGTAGACCATGCACCTGTTTATTAGTTGACTTACCTTGACTTACCTGAGCTCCCAAACCATCAGCCAGCTGTTACAAGACAAACGCTAACTCAAACCTCCTATGTTAGCAATTAAATAGACTTGAGAAGAAGCTGATCATCAAGATGAGAAACAAACTCACCCCTCTCAAAACGCTCAAACTGCGTCTCCCACTGCGGAATACGATGTCCCAGCCCAAGAACATCCGTCATCAAACCCTTCCAAACATCCTTATCATCCTCCCCATTGATCTTGATAATCTTCTCAACACACCTCTTAAACTTCTCTGCATCACCCTGCGCAATAACAACAATCCCCGACAGAATCTCAGTCCAGTTTCGCAAAAGCCCATGATCAAACGTCATCTGCGAATACCGAAACTCAACTGTCGTAGGGGACCTTTCAAGATTCTCTCCACGGTCTGAAACACTAACATTGTGATCTCGTAAAGACATAGCGAAGCCGCAGCGCAGAACACGTGCTTTTTTGAGTCGTAGACTTAAATCGGCGAGGATTGTGCTGCCCCACACGCCGTTGAACATCTTGTAGATGCTCTTGGGGTACCAATTGTTCCACTTACCTGGTTTCATGGTTCCTATGTCAGGAACATGTTGATTGAGTGCAGTGGGGTCTTCAAGGGGGCTGTGGAGGTCCATGTCTGTTGCTAAAGATGAGTTTTCGCAGATTGGCATGGAAAAACCACTTTTCCATCTTGGAGGCGCGACGAGACGTAGAAGAAGAGTGTTCTCGAGAAGGATCACGAGGGTGGTGATCTTTTGGGCGAGAAGAATGGTCATACCTGTTTCGACACCAACGTGAACATGCATACCGCAGGAATCATCGGCAGAGATTTGAAGACCCAGCTGTCGAAGGTTCGTTAGAGCAGTGTTCATAGTAGGAAGTCCAGAGTCCAACTCACCAGAGTGAAAAACAGGGGTTGTTAATTCCACGCCATCCCAGCTTCGTTTTATACTCAACGGATGAGCGAATTCAAGAAACTCAGACTTGAAAATGAAACAACGATCCGAGACGACCTCTCCATAAGACAGTACGTCAGGGAACTGAAGTACGCAGTCGCCACTGAATTGGTTCTCCTTGGGGACTGTGGTGCAAATGACGCATCTGTCATCTGGAGCATGAGTACACTGCGCTGCGATGGGTAGGGACGTTCGCTTTGCAAGCAGATCTGCCATGTTGAATCGTGAGGCTGCTGAGGGGGAGATGTAGCGCCACATGCGGTAGGACTCGGGGAAGGGGGTCATGAGTTCTAGCTCGACTCCGAAGGTGATGCTTGGATAGGAAGGCATGTTGGGCTATCAGATATTTGGGTGGGAAATACCTGGAGGGTGCTGTGGTGGTGGTGAGAGATGAGATTTGAGACATGTATGGGTTGATATATGTCCATTTTCTCAGTGTAGCTGCTTTTTTGATGCTCATGTGTTGTTTGGTTGTGATGTTGTGTAGTATACTGTTTCTTTGAACAGCCATCTAGTTCACTTACATGCTGTGCTGTTATGTGAAGCAAACTGTTCATACTAAACAATGAGAGCCTCAAGCCAGACAAAGGATTGTCCCTACGAATATGTTCGATGGGGTTGAATAACATCTACTCAACCGAACAAAGTAGTCATAATCTCAATCGCAATGAACAACGCCGAGTAAAGAAAGACTTCAATGGGAGCATCTAGCAAACCTGAAACCATGAGATCCTCCTCATCACGTCTGAGGCCCTCATTGACTTCACCCGCTCCCTTCCCTAACAGCCATCTACTTGATACCTGATCTTAGTAGACACCAAGAATAAAGTTGGCCGATTGCTAAAGTAACACCACTCATCCCCAAACATCCACGTCCCAACCTTTACAAAATTCCCCGGCATTAGTCAAAGCCACAACGTCGCAGTTCCAACGTCAAAGAGTCATGACAACCCCAAACTCCAAATTCCCCATGTTCGCCGTCCTCGCAAATCTCCACGGAAATAAATTCCGCGAGGGCTAGTACAAACTTAATTCAACAGAGTTTGGCTGACACAAACTTCCAACGCCGAATCCCGGCAGCGGGTAAGTGGCTTGGAATGAACGTTACCGCAATTACTCATTCTCTCGAGGATGAAGAAAGTCATATAATGTTATATTCAAGATTGAAGTATGTAGTTATTGTAGGAATTATGTAGTGTTGTTGTTTCCAACACCGGGTATATATAATAATGATTTGTATATGAAGAAAATATTGTGTTGAGTAGTCGTGATGTCCATGTCCTGATTAAAAGCCTCGCGTCGCCAAATGGACTTCAGATGAAGATTTCGATAATCCCTCACTTTCGTAATGATGTCCCTTTGACGTCCCAATAGTAGATCCAGCGGATGACTTTCCGCCAATACTCATACCATCATCTTCTCGCTCTTCCCGTTGAACAATGATCTCCGTAGTCATGACAACTTCGTCATCACGGGGTGTTTGACGAGGAGCCTGTCGTTCATTACCACCCATGGCATAAGCTCTATACGATATATCGCCAGGTGGTTTGTCTACAGTGTTACTGATGAATGTATCAAGAGCGATATTCGTCTTGTTTCCTGTCGTCGTACCAGCGGTGTGACTCCGTGGTCCAGAGCTAGCATCCTTGTTACCCGTTGTCATCTCAACGAGACGGTTGAGAATAGTGAACTCGAGCTTGAGTTTTGTGCTGTACACAAAAGCCTTGTAGGATGTTTGGTATTGGTATTGATCGGCGTATTCAAGGCCTAGAATGGTGATGTCGAGAAGGATGATGAGGATGTTGACGTAGATGAGATGGTTCATTAGACGTCGACTTCCGCGCTTGTTGCCCATTGTGCGTTCCAGACGCATCATTTTGACTGTTTCGTAGATGTAGAAGCATGAGATGATGATTTCTTGTATGAAGAACACGGTGACTTGTATCTTCTCCATGATGGAGTATGGCTGCTTCCACATATCTGTATTCGGCGAAAAAGAGCCATAGATCATAGGAATAACAGCGCCATGCATAAGAACACCATTGATAATGATCATATACAACACAGCCTTCAACCTGAATCTATTCCTCAGAACAAGATGTAGTCTTGACCACAGCACGAGCGACTGGCCCGAAACCATGGCTACCCATCCTACTGAGATAAGCGTCGAAGCGAGATATCCCAGGGCTGAAGAAGCGTAGTATTTAATGAAGAAACCGCAGCAGTAGACTGCAATACCCCATGTTGAAACGAGAAATGACCAGAAGTATAGACCTGAGTGACGCTTGAAGGTTCCGAAGATGATGAAGTTGAGCTCAATGACGTTGTAGAGCGATATGGCGAGGAAGACGAGAACAACGGTTATTGTTGTTTGAGATATGCCTTCGAGGCCTGATCCAAAGCCGTTGTTGGCCATGGTTGTGAGTGATTGTCCGTTGAAGGAATGGCTGACCGTTTAATTCTGAGGTCAACATGGGTAGATATAAATGAAGAAAAAGGAGTATTAACAGACTTTTCAGCATGCATCATCCAAGTTTGCCATGTCTCAATAAACTAACAAATCAGTCTTACAATCTTTTTTGACCGCTACGTAATAAATGGGAAATAAAACGGCTAAGCACGGAGTCACACTAAGAATTGGGCTTGCGAGGTGCCTCATCACGAATCGGAATCGAAAAGGCGAGTCAGGTCCCGTGTTGATCTCGTGCGAATTCGTTACTCGACAGGGCTGATCCTATGGGAAGAGGAGAGAGTTAAAGTTTGCACTAGTAGATCGTGGTGGATTCTGGGGTGAGTGGGGAAATGCCGTGTGAGGCTTGCATTGTGTGCTTGGTTATTGGTAGTAAGGGTCATTGTGATGATGGAGTGGTGAGAAAGTTTTATCCCCGATGATCTGGTTGAGATTTCTGGAAGAACTCTATTAGATTTTGTCACTGGTGATGGTGTGAACGGAGAGGTATGGCGCTTAGAAAAGGATATCTCGCTTGCCACTCTCTTGGGACTTAAACCATTCTCCATGTCTGTAAATCAGATAAAACCATGTCAAATTTGAACCTCTACGCTGAGTCAAGCTAAGAATCCTCTGCTGATCACTACCGCCAAATAGGAAGCTATACAGAGCACTTATTTCAGCCCCTTCAACCCATACTACTTCCCCGCGTCATCTTCAGCTCTTGGCATATTGGGACCTTTGCGAGGATCGTTACAAGGATTATTATACGACATGGCTTGAAGATACCTTGTAGGTAATTTTAGCATCTAAATTGATGTGCAGCCTCGTGTCAAATGGAGTACATGAAGGATATTCACGTGTGAAGAGGAAAAAGCAATATGAGTCAAAGCCCTGGGTATTACGTGCAGATAGCTTCTCGAAGACAATCCATACTGCTTTTCTCATTGTTCACTACCTCAGTGGCGTTCTATAGTAACATGATCGACGATTGCTTCTACAGTACAAACTCATTGTTCAGGGGAACTTCAAAGACCTCTCACTCTACAGGCTCCGATCCCGGAAACAGTGTCTACCGGGAATGCTTCCATCCTATTAGTCTACCGTTATCCGTGGCTTGTCCCTAGCGTCGTCCGCCTTCTCAAAAGATCTTCATTCCGCTCTTCGTTTCAGCTTCATTCCATTAGCTCACGATCGGAACGGTCCCAGGAACCGGTTCTCGCACTATTGTTAACTAGCAATGGTCTGAGCGAGGACCAGGCGAAGACCATCGTGCTCGGTCCCTCGATTGATGATCTCTGCAGGGAAATAGTTAAAGCAAACATGAAGTCAACATATCAACACGTGAAAACGCCCAGATTATTGCAATATTATTCGAGAATGACTCGTTGTGAGTTTATTTTCCTTTGGCTGTATCACCATTGCATGATCTGACGCCCCTGCTGTTGATGCAGATCCGGGGAAGAGTTCCAGGGAATAGGAAGCACATGCATTGGAAAGTGATGTTCTTGCTAATCTTGTTCGACGTTGCATTGAGCCGGTGTGCTGGGTAAGAATGGACCTTTGTTTGACCGAGGGGATTTGTGCTGCGTTCGAGCATATTCTCAGCAAGGGTTAGGGGATGGCGCAAAACGTAGGAGTTTCTATTCTCAAGAACAGAAATGTTAAGGCAGATTTAGGACTTTTTTAGAATAAACTTAGTAACCTAGACTCTTTGATTAGTCTTTCGACCCCTGATTCAGAGTTTCAAGCCTGTCACCCCGAGGACTGGGTACAACCGCTGAAAGGTCATTCAGAGGATTTGACACATGCTGTGTATTCCTGATATGGTATTCAAATCATCATACCATGTAAAGGCCTATTCTTAACCAGTATCTTCCCCAAACTCACTTATTGTGCTTAACCATAGCATCAACAACAACTCTCTCCTCCTCCCCATCAGCCTGTACTACAACACTCCCCAGAACTTGATACCCCAACTTCAAATACAACCCCTTCCCCATAGGCGTAGCCAACAGACTTAAACTCTTCCCATCCTTTTCCGCCTCTTTCTGTCCCCATTCACATATCATACTAGCTGCTCCCCTCCTTCGAAAGTCAGGGTGTGTTATAAGCTCCCATAAAGGAATTTGCTCTGAACCGAATTGTTTGAAGTACTTCTTTAGACCGGCTGGGAGGGCTTTGGCATAGGCTTCCATGTGTTTTCTGTTTGCGTCCCGACGTTCGTTAATGCCGTGGTCTGTGAATGTTAGATGGCGTTGATATGGAGGGTGATACGGACCTCCGGGTATAAAGTCGCTTGTGACTTTCAAGTCCCATACTCCATAAGAAACAGGCTGGTGTATGACTTCTCCATCATCAAGCACAGGTGCTGTAACTACTAGGATGACAAGCTTATCAGGCCGTTCGAATAATTCCTTGTGCTCTATTCTTGTCCACTTCCAGAAATCCTCTGGGTACTTATCACGGTATGGGAATCTGTAGTCGGTACCTGGGTCATCGGGGGATCCATTTACGGATATCCAGGTTATGTCATCCAAGTCATCTATCGTTGCGCGGCGAAGAGTGAGAGGGGCATTGGGTATGGGCTTTGATGATGGGTTGATTGGACCTCCACCCATAATGTTGAACGATTGAAGGGCCGGAGATTGGTAGAACAATGATGGGCATGTAATTTGAGACTGTATTGATCCTTGGGAGTAGATCAAGGATATGATTCTAAGTTGGGTACAGGCAGTCGTTCTCGAGGGAAGATCATATGCTACCACCAATTTTCGTCAAGGAACAAGGGGTTCGTAGCTGTGACGTCTTCGCTATCATGTTAATAAGCTATGCTTCCATTGGATAGCAGGATGTATATTCGAATGTGCCTCTCTTCTGCATAAGGCTGAGCTCATGACGTTACCTGATAAGACCATGTCCCCGATGTAACAGAAGAAAAGGCTGGTCTTACCTAGGATTAGAGAAGGCTATTCTAAATTTAGGAAAAGATTATATAAAATAATAAATAATATTCAAGAGTTTATAGAACTTTGCTCAATTTCTATGATCTTTTCCTAAGTTTATAGTAATCTTGTAAACGTCCTGAGAAACCCGATTTTCTCTTTTTCATCAAGACATTAGTCACTCATCAATTAACCAAGCTTAAACAGGTATACACATGCTTCAGAGTGAATGTAGCCAGCTTCTTGTGATGCTTCGGCTTCAAGTCATCAGGAAGATCCTCCATGTCTTGCATATCCATAGCCTCAGCGGAGAATCCTTCTGCAGAGATATTCATATACAATCTCGCGTCGGGTTCGGAGCACGTCTTCATGCCGACTAGGCTTGTTCTTCTCGATGAGTTCCCTTCGGATAGCTTGGTAGGTTGGGTCACGATCACTGATCTCGGCATCATCTGCGTCTATTCCCCCTGCAAAAATGTCGTGGCAAAGCTTGATTGTGACGTCAAAGCTACTGCCGACCGTTTCGATCATATTTGAGCCGTAAACCATCTCCGATAATTTCTCATTGAAGATTTTATCAATCTCAGTCATTGGCTGCTTCTTTTTGAGGGCAGCTGCAAAATCGTCGACGTGTTTCCGCAGCTCGTTATTAGCGCCTGGGTCGATATCATCTTCAGCGTCGTGCTCGTAATGGTCGTCATCTTGGGTAAGTAGCATTGCCTCACCATCGCCGCGTAGACTAGATGATAACATTAGACGGATAGAGTGCCCGATATTAGGTGCCATGATTGCGTTTGTGGGTGTTTGCTGTGAATCATGCACAGAGCTGACTTCAGGTGAGAGATCTCGAAGGAAGAGGAACAAGGGGGGGAAGAGCTTCCTTTCATACCCGTATTCGAGGCACCACTATTCAAACTTCACCTGACACCTAGCAAAGCATAAAGACTTAAAATATGTACTGGCAAAAGTCTGTATGGTAGGGGAGCGCGATGTATGGATAATTCACAGTTAAAGTTTTGATATTTGACCTCTCTTCCAGTCTAGTCCTTTCTCCCCTATGTATAAACTGTTTGAATATTAATAGTTTGGTAGATTTAGAGTAAAGAATAGAGAATTTTATATATCTTGTCCTAAACTCATAATAATTTCTTCAAAATCTTAGGTAAAACAAGCTATCTCTTTACTGCTACAGGCTTACGGAGTAGTCTGTCTTCATCTTTAACAAAAATTGCACTGCATTTTGGACGGGACTTCAGTTCAGAATAAGGAATCCCACGTGAATATGTTGTAGCCAGGTATCCCCTACGTTAATCATAACTTTTTATCCTCCCACAACTGTCTCAAACGTTTTAAGCCATATCCATAGCTTTAATCTTATCCTTCGCCTTTTCATTCTCCATAGCCTGGTCCATAACCTGGTTAGGATCCTTATCACCAACATCCAGAACCTCAAAGTGTCCAGTCTCAGTAGCATCACCAGTTCGGTAACCGCTGTGAGCACCAAAGACATACCACACGTAGCAAGTGATACAGGCAGCGGCGATGAGGAATGCGAAAACGGTCCAGTTACCCATTGAGTACATGGGCCCTGTGCTGGCGGGGAAGAGGAAAGGCGCTGTGATGCCGCCGGTGTTGGAGATGGCGATCATTCCTCCTGTTGCGATAGCAGTGGCTGTTGAGCCTCGGACGGTGGCAGTTCGGTGCTTTCGTATATTAGTATATGTGATGGGTAGTGAGAATAAGTCAACTTACAGCAACGAAGGGAAGAACAGCAGCGTTCGTACAAGCAATAATACAAACAGCGAAATATCTCGCCCCCCAATGCTTAACAACAGCAAGGAGCAGATAACCCGTCGCAACAAACGCCAACCCACCCATAACATGCTTCGAGCGCTCCTTAGTCTTATCGCTATGAAGACAATTGCCCACAATGATGAACACAGCAAAGACATTGGGAGGAACAGTAAGAAGTTGAGCCTTGTAGCCCTTGAAGCCGAGAGATGCAACGATAGAGGGGGCAAAGTATCCGAAAGCGTTGAGGGAGTTGGCCATGAAGAAGTAGGCGATGGCGAAGAGCCAGAAGAAGGGGTCGGCAACGGTGTCTTTGGCGACTTTGCTGTCCCAGTGCTTGTCGTTCATGGAGGGGGCGTAGGGGCCGAGACGCTTGACGGCGAAGGCGCGTTCTTCGGGGGAGAGCCATGAGACGGTTTGAGGGTCTGTACTTGTTAATATCATGATCTCGATGTATTGATAGGGTAGGGACTTACAGTCGGGGAGGAAGAACCACACGAGGACTCCGACAATAACAGCGGGAATACCCTCAAGCACAAAGAGCCTATCGATGTTAGATGGGAAATTGCATAGGGGAGTGGTAAGGACTCACCATTGCCATCCAGCAAGACCAGCCTTTCCGTTAAGGAAAGAAATACCCGTGGCAAGTATTCCACCAAAAGCACCAGCAACAGCAACACTCGAAGCAAAGATAGCCATTCGCGTAGCTCTCTCCTCAGGCTTGTACCAAAAGCAAAGATACATCATAATACTATCCCCTCATTAGCACTCACTCACTCACACCCAACTACACTATTCACTTACCCAGGGAAAAAGCCAGCCTCAGCCAAACCAAGCATGATTCTCACAGCCAACAATCCTCCATATGTCGAGACCGCAGCAGTGCAGATGGTGACAATACCCCAAGACACCATAATTCGTGAAATCCATTTACTCGGTGAAAAGTACTTGAGAAGAATATTGCTGGGGAATTCCATGAGGACGTAGGGTACGAAGAATAAGGCGACGGCGATGTTGTATTTTTGGCCGGTTAGATTGAGTTGCTCGACGATGTTGTGCTCTGGGGAGTCATTGTTGAGAGTTCGTGCGTTTCCGAGGTTGACACGATCGAGGTAGTCTGAGTATTCATGTTAGTGATTATGTGGTGATGCATTGAGGGAAACATACTGAGGAGATATGTTATGCAAACCCATGGCATGATTCGAAGATCCTGTTTTCTTACGATTCTCTTCTCCATCTCTTTATCGTTGAGATCAACCGTCTCTAGAGCAGGGACGTCTAGAGACGGTTTTGGTGAGAAGAACTTGTCCCAGTTGAAGAACATGATGGGCAATATCCAAGTCTACAGAACTCAACTTACTTCTCCTCAGATCAACCCCACGAGGGAGTAACGCTTGTATTTAAATACCACTACCTTATCTACCGGATGATCTCTTACCATGATAGTGAACAATAATTAACTTTAACTCCCAGCGATAACGGTACTTGCAAAGCGGGCGCCGTATCTACCCCAGATTTTCGCTTATACCACAGCGTGTTATTGTACGATGGAATAGGAAGTGAGCGACACTGCAAAAACTCCACTGTAGATAGGACCGGCCGCCGGCGAAGAGGGCCCGGCGGGTATCATGATGCCGATTTGGGAAATACAGCCCGGAAATGGGAGAGTTTTTTACGTATTTCGTTTCGTTTTCTTTATTCATTCGGTGAACCACCGAATAAGCCAAGCTTTTGACATGGCGGGGAAGTGTTCACGGGATGAGTATCCTGCATATCCTTTGGAATTGAGGTCACAAGACTGTTTTTTATAGGTATACTATTCTTGTGTTGTATAGGTAGAGGTGAGGAAATGAGATTTGGCGGAAATGCTGTTTTCTGATATCGAATACTCGGAGGTGCGGAGCGGCCGATTTCGGGATGGGTGACATTCGATGGTGCGGGTTTTATTCTATGTCCGTTCGATTATTCCACATTAATAGTATGGTTTCGGTACTATATAGCGAGAAAGATAAGAATGTGAGATAAAACTTGACATTGGTTTCTGAATAATAGGCAATACGTTGTCGGCACGCTTTAGACCGATGGCGATGTTTCTAGTCAAGGACTAGAAGGGTTATGGCTCCCCTCCCGGCATCACAATGCCGATATATTAAGACCAATGCGATTTACCAATATCCGTTGGAAGTGCCTTGTGACGTTACTGAGCTTGTAGTCGACATGATTACTTTTACGAATTCTTTGTATTATCAAGCACTCAGTGTACCTTAATCCGACCTCACTTGCTATCCTACACCTTGATTACTACTCGGGTATCAATGACTCGTTACTCACTGCAGCCCATATCTCCCAAGAAACTCAATTGACAGGGAACAAGGACAGATGTGAGAGTTTCATCGCAGATTGCGACCTCAAGTTGTCGGCCTATCATAGATCACCATCAGATGGATGTACACTGCTGATTTGGACATCTGTACATGTGAACAACGAACAAGTGCGCTTGGCGATCAAGACCTTGGCAGACTTATGAGTGTATCTCAGTCATGCTATGCAGCGTGATTCATGACTGAGATAATCACACGATGGTGACTCTCCTCAGAGAGAGGAAAGCCACAAGCGGCTGATCAAACTGCGTGTAAAACCTCACATCAAACAAGCCCAAAAAAGACAATGGCACTTCTTCAACGGCGTCAAACCACTCGACATATACACTAAAACAGCATCTACACATCGCTATCAATACCTAATCCCGCTCCTTAGACCCAACAGTCGATCTCGAACTCGAATTCCTCAAAACCTTACCCCCCTCAGATCCAGAATCAGGTGTATGCGTCGCACTACTCTCCCTCGCCAAAGGCGACGGAAAATCTGGCGTGACAGATCTCGAATCAGTGCCCGGTCTTTTCGGCTTCGAACTCGTCGACAGCCTCTTGCGGCGCGCTGACATGGATCCGCTGCTGGGTCGTCGGCTCACAGAGTTATCTTCTTCGACAATCGGTGTTGGACTTCGTGTTGAGCTTGTTGAGGCGCGGCGCACACTACTTCCGCGACGACGACGTTCGCGCTCCACGGAGATGTGACGGGGTGGTGTCTTTTCGGGCTCGTGGCGGCGCGGTTGTCGGCCGGGGAGCCACCATAGCCAGCCGTATTGTTGCTTGACGAGTTGATGATCGCGCTCTTTGACTTTTTGCCGCAGCAGGGCCCGTCGTTCATTCTCCTTCTCCCAGTATTCCGTCCTGTATAACTCCCAGTTCTCTCGGAACGTAGCAGAGAAAGGCTTCGCGAGGAGTAACAGCTTGACGTAGTCACCGCCAGGCGCTAGATCCTCCTCGTGACCACCTTTCTCCTCATCTTCGTGGGGCAGTATCAAAGTCGGGTGTGTATCGCTCGTGATCTGAAGTTCCTTCTCCACCTCTCGTAAAAGACTCGGTTCGACATATCGATACGATGAGCTAGCCGTGTGTGAAAAGAGTCCGTAGGTCAAGAAGAATCCAATCGTTGAAAGTGCTTCGGCCCACCACGTCCGTCGTATTATGATCAGTTTGCAGTTGAAGCCTCGTAGTCCTCTATTCGAAATGGCGAACCATCGTCTTGGCCATCGAATTCCTCGCTCCCAGATTCCAGTTGCCCAGACGAGTATCGCAGTGATGATACCACCCATGAAGCAGACCTTCTCTGCACCCTCGACAGCCCAGTAGATAGAACCTCCTACACCACGACCATCTTCACGGGGAGCGAGAAAGAGAGCATATCCAAAACCAGCGATCCACAGTGACAGCAGTGTAAGAAAGAAAGTATGGTGTCGCTTTCGAGCTCGTAGTTCAAGGAATTGCGCGCGCAGTGATGCTTCGAGGATCAAAAGGTTGAGATAGATCATAGACGGTGAACTCGGCGTATGATGGAGCGGATCGCCTTGTTTAGCGGCGGTGGGTAGAATGGGACTCGCGCCGGCGACATCTTTCACGCCTTGCGAAGGAGCTGAGGCGCCTTTTACGATG